TTAATCTAATTTGTCTATAAGATGGTTCGCATTGAACCCTCTTTAATGTGGATTGAGTTAAGTTTGACCCGCTTATCTTGATTCATTTGTTTCACCTCTACTTAGGGTTATGTTAAAATTTGAAATTTATGAGACCGAATTTTTTATTTGTTTTAAGTTTTGGGAGAGAAATTTTTGGAAAATGATATGGTAACTTGATGACAGGGCAAATGGGGTGATGCTGTCACTTGATGCATGAAGTAAGAGAATGATGTAAATTGGTGAGGTAAAGATATCATTACTCCACCGCAGACAGGCTGGTCCACGTAGGACTTTAACTCTTCGACATTCAGTTTCCCCAAAGATGCGTAAGATCTCATCACCGTTAGATCGAATTTAACACCCGCTTATTTCTATCAAAGTGGCCCACCCTGCTCGATGCTTGACCGTTGGATTCAACCAAAGGGTTTTTCCACTGGGTTTATAAGTTCGTTCGCCTGGGCGGCGTGCTGCATATTTAGCCAACCTTTCGTTCCTGCCTTCTCAGAGCTTCACGATTATATAATTATTTTTCCCCCTTTTTTTTAACAAAAATATATTTGGTTTAAAGCAAGTAATACATTCCACTTATATTCGGAGCTCGGTCTTGAAGGTATTAAATTGGAATTATATTTTTTTATTTTGGAGGGAAATTATTTGAATCATAATTTGTTATTAACGTGTAATGGCTATATTTTGATGAAAATTATTTATTTGATTGTTTTGTTTACTTTTGTTTTTGTTTCTGTGAAAAATGTGCAGATCGAGCTCCTCAAGGTTGAAGCTTTCAGTTTTTTGGTGGTTTAGATATTTTGCAATTTTTATTTGAAGAACTTAAACTTTGTTTTATTCGTCGAAATAACTTCTTATACACACTGGATTTATTAGCAATGGCGAACACGATGCAATTTTGCGGTGTAATTCCGAAGCAATCTTTGCATTGCCCAACTCTGTCGTGGCAGCGGCTTGAGTTTGGCGCGTGTGTGAGTTCGAGTTCTAGGTTTTGTATTAGTGTGAAAAGATCGTGTAGAGATAGAGGAGGTTTGAGAGTGAGTTGTGAGGGAGCGAAAATAGATGTGATTGAAAGGAAGGAGAGTGAGAGTCAAGTATTGGGAGAGAATGAGAAGCAATTGACATGTGTTATGAAGTTCGGTGGATCGTCCGTGTCCTCTGCTGAGAGAATGAGGGAAGTTGCTGAACTTATACTTAGCTTCCCGTACGAAAGGCCTGTGATTGTTCTCTCAGCAATGGGAAAGACAACAAATAAGTTATTGCTGGTATATAATGAATTTTTATTCTGTCTTTGTTCGATTCATATGTGATATTTTTTTTTTCTTTTTGTTTAAGATGAATGTTTTATTGCTTGTTTATTAGGCTGGTGAAACGGCTGTTAGTTGTGGGGTTACTAATGTGTCATGTATTGATGAGTTGAGTTTTATTCAAGAATTACACCACAGGTGAGAAATGTGAATTCCATTTTCATTGATGTTGATCATGGTGAATTAAAATTTGTAATTTGTTTGTATTTGGCATCTTTTATTTATCCAGGACTGCAGATGAGCTTGGAGTAGAAAGGTCAATTATTGAATGTGAGTATCTGTTTCTCTTGAAACCATTTGTTTCTTATTCACTTGTGGTTAAGACTGTCCTGTTTTTGTCTGTGGGAAACATTTTGCAGATCACCTAGAACAACTGGAGCAACTTCTGAAGGGAATTGCTATGATGAAAGAGCTAACTCCACGCACTAGAGACTACTTAGTTTCGTTTGGGGAGTGCATGTCCACTAGGCTTTTTGCTGCATATTTGAATAAAATTGGTGTGAAAGCCCGCCAAGTATGTTATTATCTTCTATATTTTTGTAACTTAGCTTGCTTGTCTTTCTCCAACTATTTTAAAAATTCAGATTTAGATTGATGTACATTGTTCCATTTTACCATGCTTACTTGTAAAATATTATTCAAATAACAGAGAATTACAATGCTTTGCTTTCTTTTTTCAGTATGATGCCTTCGATATTGGCTTCATAACCACAGATGACTTTACAAATGCTGATATTTTGGAAGCCACTTATCCAGCTGTTGCTAAGAGGTTACATGGTGATTGGATCAGTGATCTTGCAATTCCAATTGTTACTGGTTTCCTCGGAAAGGTCCTTCAACTACCTAATTGCTTTTGACATCTTCTTTGGGAGGCTTTGCAATAAGTCTCAATAGATTGTGTTTCTTTGTCTTGTATTCCAGGGCTGGAGGTCTTGTGCAATCACTACATTGGGTAGGGGTGGTAGCGATTTGACAGCCACAACCATTGGGAAAGCATTGGGGTTGCGAGAGATTCAGGTCAGCATGGATATTGAAACTATCGCTTTTGTTTATTTTTAGATCTGTCTTACATGCATGAACTACAAGTTTCCTTTCATGCAAGAGACAGACATACTACTACAACTACAAACATGTATGCCTTAAGTTTGTTTCTTTGAAATATGTGAAAGGAGTGTTTCTTTAATGACGTAGAGTTCTATATACAAGATTGAGAACCTTTGTCATTGTAACTTCTGTGTACATATTAAATTCAGAATGACATAAGACTGAGCTTTTATTGGTTACAGGTGTGGAAGGATGTTGACGGTGTTTTGACATGCGATCCTAACATATATCAACGTGCTGAGCCAGTCCCATATTTGACATTTGATGAGGCGGCTGAGCTTGCATATTTTGGGGCTCAGGTATATTTATTCTATAGCTTTTAGTCCATCTCAGTATTTGAATATCCACAATGTTCCTTTAGTTTTGGAATTGACCACAGATAAAATTGAATTTGCTTTCAAGCTGGATGTATTAAACTAGATAGCATTTTATAATGGCTAGTTGTTTGGGACCCCAAAAAATATCAAGAATTTCTCAACTAAAGCTGAAATTCTGTGGCTGGTATGATCATGACTTTTTTAACCATGTAACTTTTGTTCTTTTATCAGGTTTTGCATCCACAATCCATGAGACCAGCTAGAGAGGGTGATATTCCGGTTAGGGTTAAGAATTCTTATAATCCTAATGCCCCAGGAACTCTGATCACCAGGTCTAGAGATATGACTAAGGTTTGTTGTCAGATTGCTGGTCTAATGATTTCTTTACATAAAAGAGTATAAATCTTCTTATTTCCCAACTGCAGGCAGTATTAACTAGCATTGTTTTGAAACGTAATGTTACCATGTTGGATATTGTTAGCACTCGCATGCTTGGCCAATTTGGCTTCCTTGCTAAGGTAAGAGTGCTAATATTTGGTGCCTGTGCTTTATGTTCCATTGGGTCAGTTTGTGGTTTGAGTCATTAATTTTTGAGCTTGCAGGTATTTTCAATCTTTGAAGATTTGGGCATATCAGTGGATGTTGTAGCTACTAGTGAAGTCAGTATTTCCTTGACATTGGATCCATCTAAGCTTTGGAGCAGAGAGCTAATTCAGCAGGCAAGCGTATGATGTTTTTCTCCATGTCATATATAATTTAGCTTGATGATATACAGTCTGTACCAATTATTTTTGATCTACAGCTGGAGTCTGAATTTTGATTGAGTATTTACAATTAATCTTGTCTCTTGTTACATCTTTTAAACAGGAACTTGACCATGTAGTGGAAGAACTTGAGAAAATTGCCGTTGTCAATCTCCTTCAGCACAGATCAATTATATCTCTTATTGGCAATGTCCAGAGGTCCTCGCTTATACTAGAGAAGGTGATGGATTTTCTCTTCATTTCTTTAATTTTTTTCTCGCTTTATTTGTTATATATTTTTAGTGACCAGGTAGATTATGTGGCAGGCTTTTCATGTTCTACGAAGAAATGGAGTCAATGTTCAGATGATCTCCCAGGGTGCATCGAAGGTATTTCATAAGCCTCCTCTGATTCAATCTTCCTTTGAATCCACGCAGGAGCATGGATTTAAGAACCATTAATAATTAGTGTAGCTACACAAAACCTTTTAATCGCATAGAGACAGAGTTATATGGTCTTTTGCACAAAATGGATGTGTTTGCATTTATTTCTCACTGGTTTTTGGTTTTACAAAACAGGTTAATATCTCGTTGATTGTAAACGACAGTGAATCAGAACAGTGTGTCAGGGCCCTCCACGCCGCCTTCTTTGAGAGTGATCTATCCAATTTAGATGCAGAAGGTAGCCCTGAGAATACTTCTGCCTCAGACTAATAAATCTATTTTTTTTGTCCCTTTACTCCCAAATTTTAAACAATTTGGGAGTAGAGTACTCAGTATCATTATTTAAACATTTAACTGTCCCCTATTGTCGCGAGCAGCATAGCTCTATTATTAATCTTTGAATAATGTATTTTTCCAATTGTATTGCAAAGTAATATTTGTGCGTTGGTGATTTATGATTTGTCCGGTAACTTACCTATTGCATTATTTTGAATTACGAGATATAACAAGTTTTAAGAAAAATGCAAATTAGTATAAAATTTGAGATTATATGTGTTGGGCACAGTTTTTATTTTTTAACATCGAAAATAGTTTTGATTATCTGATCAAACATATATTTTTGAATATTAATACTAAACTTTGATAACATAAAATCCAAAATTGATTAGAAATAAAATTTCTTCTTGCTTGTGTCATTCATTGCTTTTATTCAACAGAAAACAAAGATGCCTTCAATTGACGAGCCAAGAAGACATAACCATTCCATATATAATTTTTACCTATTAATGGAAAAATAAGCTTTTAGTCAGTTTAAGCAGTAATTAATATTTAATATCGACAGAAGAAAGATGTCTTTGAGATTAGGCTAACCCTAGAGATCCTTTAATTTTAAAAGACGAAAAAATAAATAAATTTTCTTAAAGAGGTTAATATTATGATAATTGATTTTGCCCATATAAAAATAAAAATGAAAATCCCTCCATTTGACCGAACCGTAAATACTGAATAGCTGGCATGGCACAACCAATCACAACCTACTATATAAACCTCCAAAACCCTAACATTCCAATTCCCCACAACCCCCACACCGCCACTTAACTATGGCATGCACAATCGATTTCAGGAACCTGGACGAAGGTTTCGGCGGCAAGACCTACAAGCGAAAGCGCCAAGAGGCAGAAAACGCCGCCCTTACCACCACCAACACCGAAGACCATGCCTCCATGGACGTAGACGACGACACGTGTCCACCCGCCGCAAAGCGATCGGCCATCGCGTCCTCAGACAACCCCGACAAGCCGACGTTTGGTCAGCCTACCTACGATGGCGTGATCGCCGGGAAAGTGTCGGGGAGGAATTGGAAGCAGGCGCGTAAACACCGGGCGTCGGCGAGCAAAGTGAGCGTGAGAAGAACGAGTTTGGAGGAGAGAGAGAAGGAGAAGTTGATAAAGAAAGCGTATAGAGAGAGGATGAATGAACTGAAGGAAGAGATTAGACAGAATAAGATAGAGAAGAGGAAGAGAGCCGAGGAGAGAAAGAAAAGGAAGGAAGAGAATATAATGAAATCTGGAACTAAGTTTCAGGTGATATCTAACAAGAATACTCTCAAGAAAATTGCTAAGTCTAAGGACAAGAAGTTGCTTAAGGTTGTACCTGAAGATTTGGTCAACAAGAATAAGAAGAAATAGTTTCAATTTTGTTTTTTGTTGTTTTTGTTTTTGTTTCTGCCATCAAGATTATTAATATTCAATTTTGAAGCTTTCATTTCGTTTGTTAGATGGTTATATAATTTCGAATTATGCAGTACTAAATAATATAATTGAACAGGAGGCAAGAACCCGTATCCCACAATTGCAAAGTAAAATTATGAAAAGTTTTTTTTTTTGTTTTTTTGGTGAATGAATATGGCTTTGATAAGTTCACCAATAATCCTTACAAGAGCAAAACCCATCTATGAAATGATGGAATCTGCTTGAATCCCTAACTGTAATTTCTCTTTTGACTATTTTTGAGATCAACTTGATTGCAGCATGGCAATCTGTACAGGCTCTCAAGTTCTTCATTACCAGTATTGGTGACCCTTGTGGCGTACAGATTAGTGCATATGCAATTGCTAATCTTTCACTATGATATTTAAGTGACTCTATTTTGAATTCCTCGTCCTCATCGTGAAGGGCGCAGCTTGTATCAGGTTTATACCCTTCCTTTTCCATTTGCTTCATCAACATTTCAATCTTTCTCGTGATTGCCTTCATTTGTGGGTGCAACTTATCGTTTGCTGTGAATACATGAACTTTGTTTTTAATTTCAACCCAGCTAGATGCTAGAACCTTCTTCACTCCACGATCTCGCATAGCCTTCTTCACCTTCTCGACATTGTCCCACTGGCCTGCAGCTGCGTAGATGTTTGACATGCTTACATAAGGGGCGGCATCTCTAAGCTCCTCCATTTTGAAAAGTTGATCAGCTGCTTTTTTAGCCAATTCTTGGTTCTTATGTATCCTACATGAGTTGAGAACTGATGACCACATGATCTCATCGGGCTCAAATGGCATTCGAGTCATCAACTTCTGTGCTTCATCAAAGCGTCCTCTACGACACAACACATCAACCATAGATGCATAGTGTTCTCTCTTTGGCATGAGTTTGTATGTTTGAGTCATGGACTTGAAGTAATGTAATCCTTCTTCAACAAGTCCACAGTGACTGCATGCAGACAACACTGTGAGGAAGCTAACTGAATCTGGTTGATATCCTGAATGAATAATCTCTTCAAATGATCTAAGAGTCGCCTCCCCATCTCCATTTTGTGCGTAAGCCGATATCAACGCGTTCCAAGAGACTATATTCCTTTCAGGCATCTCTTGAAAAGTTTGAATTGAATCTTTTAGTGATCCACATTTCGCATACATATCCAAGAGTGCACTGCCAGAAAACACATTTGACATAAAACCCGATCTAATTACAAGTGAGTGTAGCTGTTTCCCCAGTGACAATGAAGCTAAATTTGCAGAAGCTTTTAAGATGCTAGCAAAAGTGGCTTGGTCAGCACTTACATCAGCTCTACGCATCTGGTTGAACAGTTTTAGGCCTTCTTCAAAGAGTCCTTTCTGTACATAACCTGAGATCATAGCCGTCGATGGAACTCCACTTTTATGGCTTAGAGTTGCAAATATCTTTCTTGCCTCCTCAAATTTGCCACATTTGGCATACATGTCAACCAAAGAATTTCCAACTTGAACTTCAGAATTGGCTGTTGTCACAATGGCCTGGGTATGGACCTGCCTACCAATTTCCAACTCTACCATATTTGCTACTATGCTCAACAGGGTCGGAAATGGAAACTGTCTCCTATCAAATCTAGTGAAGTGTAATTCCCTGAAAAGCTTGAGAGATTCTTTGTGTAGTCCGTTCCATGCATAGCATGTGATTATCACATTGTAAGAGATACCATCCACCTCCGGCATCTCATCAAAAAGCTTCCTAGCTTCAACCACACTGTCATGCTTCGAGTAGAAATCAAGCAAAGCATTCCCGACAAACACATTCCCAACGAAATTACTCTTCACCACAAAAGCATGAATTAGTTGCCCTAATGCTATATCACCAAAGCCAATGCCAGCAGACAAAGCCGCAGCAAACGTAAAGTCAGAAGGCTTGTAACCCAGATGTTGCATCTCAATGAAGAGTCTTATTGCTTTTTTATTCAAACCCACTTTCGCGTGTCCTGTTATCAATGCATTGAAACTAATAGAATCCTTTTCGGGCATTTCCTTAAAAATCCGACAAGCCAAATCAAGGCGACGAATCTTGCAATAAGAATCAACCAAAGAATTGCAAACGACAAGGGCGGAATTATAACCAAACTTAACTATGTTAGCATGAACTTGAATAACTTCATTTGCTGTATCCAGGTCATTACATCCTGATAGCAAAGTCGCGAAGGTCACATAGTCAGGGTCAAAACCTCCTCGGCGCATATCAACAAAAAGCCTAAACGCTTCTCTGAAGTGATTACGACGCGAATAGGCACCTATTAAAATTGTCCATGACACAGATGTTCGTTCCACCATGCCATCAAACAACTCTCTAGCGCTTGCAAGGTTGCCTGATTTCACGTAGCCCGAAATTATCATGTTCGTCGAGACTGTATTTCTGTTAGGCATTTGATCAAACATTTTGCGTGCTTCAGATAACTCGCCTCTTTTAACAAGACTTTCGACGAGGAAGTTTGAGCGGCACGTGCTTAGGTCAAAACCCGTTTTGACAAGGCGGGCATCGATGAAATTCTGGACATTTTGGTTGGGTTTTGTCGTCTGCGAGGCTCTTATAGACGTAGCAAGGTTTAGAAGAACATTTGTTCTGTGAGGTTTCATAGAATTTAAAGCGGGCAGTGAGGTGTTCATAAGCAGGGGGATTAGGGAAGTGTTTGGTTACCTGCTAAAGACGAGAGAAATCAGCGGAGTTAAAAAGCAAAAACAGGCGGCTCAACTTTCATCAGTGTTTCATTGGACTCTTCTTCTTATTAGCTTTTTAAATGTCTGTGAGAAAGAATGCGTCATACTTTTTGAAGCACGCATATTGTCTATAACCTTTACTTGATGTGGGCAAATGGCAATATATTTATTGCTCAGTTCTTATTCAACAAGCAGGCAAGGCCCTTGATTAGTTTCGAACAAGGACGAAAAATTGTTCAAAACAGTTGCTGAGGACAAGCAGTTCATCAGTATCTTTCTTGATAAATGAGACATCGTTCTGTGATTAAAAGCATGGATGTCAAGTCGTTTATCATTTTGTTAGAGCTAAAGCATGGCTTAAAAGTTTATCAAGAAGCTAATTTCTTGAAGTTGAGGTGATTTGGGGACATCCACCAAATTGCGTTATCATGAATGAACATCTGAAAAATTATGCGTTAATGTTATAAAAATCCAATGATGGCATTGATCACTGTAAGACGAAGATGAGTTTCAATTTATAGGGAGTTATTATGGAAGCCTTATTTATCCATTCTTTTTCTTTCTTCCCATTGTACATCCATTCATTTACTTTTTCAAGCATCGTTTTTCCAGTAGTGAGCCCGAACAATATTTGCTTTCTTGATCTAGTAAACTCCTCTCTGATACTCACGCTCGCAGAATATTCCTCCAAGATCGTCGCAAGCTTCTGCCTTGAAAACCCTGTCAAAAACTATATCAATATCATGTTTAGTACATTTTACAAGCTTTAATTTTTGAAATACAAAGGCATAAGAGTGCAAGAGTTTTACGTCTTGGCTTCATTGTACTCAAAGTAATCTCTTTCAATGGCCTCCGAGGCTCTTGCCCTCTCATTTCTGGCCTCTGGTTGCAGCCTTACTTCAGGGTACATCTCTGCCAAACAAGCATCTCCACCAATTGTCTCACATGCCTCCGCTGGAAACACACTGAACACACAAGACTTCTATGAACAACTTTTTAACCAACCAATAATCCCAGTTCAATTATAGAAGTGATATTTTCTTTAATCATTAATTGGAAATAAAAAATTGACTTACGAGAAGGCAGAACTGTAATCAAACGTGGAAGAGGTGTCATAGGTAGCGGCAGTTTCTTTGAGAGGGGGACAATGGGAAGCAAGTGAACTGCCGAGCTTTGGTTGGGAAATCGCTTGCTGGGAGAAGACTTTGCAGGGCATTAAGGGGAGAATGGTTGGGGCAATGCACAAAGCTGCTTGCATGTTGATGATGTTGTATTGT